CCTATAGTCACATAATCCAGTACAATTCATAAATTACTGAGCTGGAGATATTTAACGAATTATCGCTATGGTAACAAATGTCACCATAGCTGATCAAAACTACAAAGAATGAAACAAAATTTGGATGAGATACTTCAGATGCTAAGTCTATTATCTTCATTTTTACTGTGGCATACTTGGTATCTGTAAAATGGCACAAATATGAACTGGAGACTGACTCAGACCAGTACATACAGCGAATACTTTAATTTATAAAATACTGTGGCGAAAATTAAAAATGTTGCAACCAACAGAAAAGAATTTAAGTCAAAATGAATGTGTTGATTAAAAATCCAACTGCAAAAAAAGGAAAGTATAATAGTAAACAGAAACAGCTATAAGGATTTTCCTGAGCCAAAGCCACGCTCTTGTTAAATAAGAGAACCTCAATGAAAGACTTATCAGTAATGAACCTTGCAGTAGTCTGAGCCACCAGCCTGATTCCACAGTTTTTTCAACACATAATTTCTCATGTATGTCAAAAGGATTTGCATAAAAAAACAACGTAGAAGTGGATACGAAGGTTCACATTCAATTCAAAAAATAATGAAAGGGTGTCTTTTCCTAAATGTGCTTTTTCAGTGTAAATCAACATTTCTTTTTTAACAGTTCTTTAGGTTGAAAAATAAAGAACAATAGTTTTTCTTTCAAATGTGAAGGAACACGTCAAGAAAACTTACGAAAAGAGATTTATCTGCTGCAGCCATTACAAGGGGTATTATGTTTCCAAATAAACAATAACTGAAAAACTTTTACTACAATTTCAGAATTCAAAGGAAAAGATAGTGTACTCTGCATTGCTCTTATAATAATTCTTGCTCTTCTTCATATACTCAGGTGTTTTCATTAAAACGCACACACACTTGAACTGAATTTTAAATTTAGTGCAATGAATACCTTTAAAATAACCTGGTAAATCCTCCTGTCCAGTCCACGACCCCCCAACTTATGTTACACCTTGAAATTTTTATTCTTTATAGGGAAAGGAGTATACTCTCATCACCATCAGCACAAAGCTGACAGAGTAAGATCTTATGATTCCGGAGTGTTTTCTCAACAACTCCAAAGATCTTTTTAACACTACAGACCGTTCTCACAGCTTACATCCTCAAACCTGAATATTGGCTTACTATACAAAGCTTCACAGTCACACTGTGATCACCTACTTACATCAACAAAAATTTCAGAAGAGTATTTCAAATCATTGAGGTACTAGACAAGATTGATGAGGCAAAAAGAACGGTCTTTAAATAATTCACCAGATTTTAATACAAGTCATAATTAAACATCAAAAAAGAAGATGGCAGAGAAAGTATAACACAGGTTTGAACTTCGCAAATCATTACAGAGAAGCTAATGCACACTATAAGGCTGGCTACAGACTAGAACATAATTCAAACACATTAAATTCTGCAGTTAAACATTAAGCTGCTAATGCACTAACAGCCTTCAATTACTGACTGGTCTTCCACCTTTCAGGGTAATATATTAACCATTATTTCCAAGGCATCAATAGATGCTCTATCATGTACCATAATCCAGCAGGTAGCATCAAAGTCAACAAAACTGGCAGACATGATAGAAAATAAACTCCTATTTTATTGCAAAAAATCATAGATATATTTATGTCAAAAGTCTCATCCTAAAAAAGGAAAAGAAATCATAGAATCATAGAATGGTTTGGGTTGGATGGAACCTTGAAGCTCATCTAGTTCCAACCCCTCTGTCGTGGGCAGGGACACCTTCCCCTAGACCAAGTTGCTCAAAGGCTCATCCAACCTGACCTTGAACACTTCCAGGGATGGGGCATCTACAACTTCTCTGGGCAACCTGTTCCAGTGTTTCACCACCCTCATTGTAAAAAATTTCATCCTTCTATCTGATCTAAATCTGCCCTCTTACAGTTTAAAGGCATTACCATTTATCCTCAGACAGACATGCACAGCTTAAAAAATAAAAATCTGAATTTTTTAAAATAGCTTTATGACTTTGGAGCAGTCAGACCATAAGTATTTCAACCACAACAGAGTAGTTCCAATTCTACCTCCCTTTACATTATTGTCATATGAGATGACATTCATATAATTGATAATGTCAGAATACAAGGAGCTAAAGGCAGCAGGGGTAAAAGATCCATCCCTGCTATAGAACACTCTCTGTCATAATCCATGCTGGAGCCTGAGTCAAGCCATTCTTCTGCTCTCAACAAACACTACTGGAATAAAATAGTATTTCTCCTCCTGTGGGTACTCATCCAGACTACACATCACCTTCCTACCACAGACAGTGAACCTGCCAGTTTCCACAGTAGAAGTCTGCGTAAGAAGGCTAAGGATTTCATCAGTACATTGCCCATCAAGAAGAATTTGCTGTTGTAAAAATCCAGACTATTACATACAAAAATACATTAGCTTTAAAATGCCAAAGCTAAGACATTAAGATTTTTGGTTTTAAAATAGAGGGAGGTAGATTCAGGTTGGATATTAGGAAAAAATTTTTTACTATGAGAGTGGTAGAACACTGGAACAGGTTGCCCAGAGAGGTGGTGGATGCTCCATCCCTGGAGACGTTCAAGGCCAGGTTGGACAAGGCCCTGAGCAACCTGATCTAGTAGGAGATATCCCTGTTCCTTGCAGGGGGGTTGGACTAGATGACCTTTGAAGGTCCCTTCCAGCCCTAACCATTCTATGATTCTATGATTCTATACTCATCCAGACTACACATCACCTTCCTACCACAGACAGTGAACCTGCCAGTTTCCACAGTAGAAGTCTGCGTAAGAAGGCTAAGGATTTCATCAGTACATTGCCCATCAAGAAGAATTTGCTGTTGTAAAAATCCAGACTATTACATACAAAAATACATTAGCTTTAAAATGCCAAAGCTAAGACATTAAGATTTTAGAAATGTCAAAATAGAGATAGACTGGGAAATTTTGATTCTGCTACCTTCTGAGCCTCTTCGCATCACACAATCTATATATATATGCAAAATAAATGCATGTTTTCCTTCAGATTAATGAATCATTCAGTACTCAGGGTGAACAAGGCTCCAGGAAGCAGTTGTAGAGCACTGATGATTTATCCACGGTATACTAATCTTGTTTAGAGAAGGTGAAAGATGTTTAGTGAACATGATAGGGAATTACAGTAAGGAGGAGCATGCTGTCATGCGGAGCATGCTGTCATGCATTAAAGTATTACTCTTCAGAAACAAAAGTAGAATCTGTTTCTATCACAGGGTTCCTACATGACGACAGTTACTTACATAAGTCATACACCACCTTCCAACCTTGAAGTCATGTAATTTTCCCAGAGGCAGAACAGAGGTAGAAGACAGTCCTGTGACTGAAGCTATTGAACACACCAAGTATGCACATGTCCTGGAATTCCTGACCAACTTAAAACAATTGTTTCCGGAAAACATGACAACTTGGAGTTCTGGCAAGAGGAGACAGCATAGTTCACATTAGATGTTCTCGGTCTCTTTTCTTCCATAGAGTCTTTCAGAAGTAAATCACAGCTATCCTGCAGTCCAGGTGAATTGTCGCTGCATCCTGCTTCTTAACACCATTGTTCCTAAAAAGGCCTTGGCCAACCCTCTTACATCTGACTGGAAATTTTCCCATCAAGTGAGAAGAGAAGGCCCTGATGAAAGACAGCAGCTGGGAGAAGGGCTGCTCACTGAAATTACCTGGAGGCTTTTCAGAAAGTTGAGAGTGGCTCACTGCTCAAACAGCAAGCAGTCTACAGAAGGTAAAGAGATCATAGGATACTGACCTGAGACTACAACCAAAAATTTCAGTTAGATTATAGTTGTGCCTGACTTTATTTTCATGGTTCTTGGCTCGAGATATCTTATTTGGAGAAACTCTGAAGATTCATGCTTGCAACTGTGATCTAACAATAGTTGAAGACAGTGGTAACAATAAGATGAAGAGGAGGAAACGGGATCTATACTGACATTTTCATCTCAACATGTTAGTTGCTAAATATTAAGTAGCTGTTCTCTTTTCCAAGTATTTAAAAGTAAAAATCCATCTAAGGAGACCCATATGCAGAAGAAAGATAGATGAGTGTTGGTGACATCAGCTGACTCAAACCTTATCTGCAGTCGTTTTAGCACTTATTCTGACTGTAACAATACAGAGAACCCAGATCTTTCACTGCGTTCTCTGGATATAGTAACGTGGACATTACGATGGGCTTCCATGGTAACTGCTTGAAAGAGTGACTGTCCACCTGCTGGGAAAACTACTAATTTCAAATTATTCCATGTCAGTAGTTTGTCATAATGTGTTTTTTGTTTGTTTTCTTTTTCTTCTTAGCAAATAAAGAAATACTTTTTTCCAAAACACATCCAATACTCTACAGTCCTACTTTCCAAAGTATCTGATCAAATTAGCACTTATTGTAAACAATGAAGCAAAGTAATTATCAACACCTTCAGTTGATGTCATCAGTACTTTCAGTGCCTGTTAAGAAATGGTATATTTACTTTGCTTTTCTGTTCCTACTATCCATACTACTGGTACAATTGGACTGCTCAATAAAAACCCCAATATTTAAATAGCAAGAAATTCCATATACTCATATAAATGGAGTTTATCTGGAAATACTTAAATTTATTCCCCAGGATAATACCTTGCATAGGGTCAAGAGTGTGCTGCTTATCATATTGTCTAAAAATCCAGAACCTCCACATTGTATACAGTCTTCTACAACAATCCAAATCCTGCAAGGTCTTTTAGAGTGACAGGTGTATATTTACCACTGGTAAAACAGCATGCAAAACAACAGTATGTCTAACACCACCTTTCCAAAATATTATCCAATCAGGTTTGGAAACAGCAGGCTTTGAAACTTGGAAAGAAGGAGGTCAGCAAATCAAAGTAGCTACTAGAAATATTTCAGTAATTCATACTCTCTCACAAATACTGTCAGCTTAGGCTTTCATTTTACCTTGAGAAGGTATGTAGGAATATTGCTGAAATCTACAGGCAACTTTAAGAGGAAACGAGCTGAGAATTCTCCAGTCTGTGGAAAAAAGGTAACATTAGTGAGATCTGGTGTCTAAAACAGAACCACAAATTGAACGTTCTGAGGATGAAATATTAACCCAGAAAAACATGTAAGAGCTCATACTAAATAGAAGGACTTAGATTTAAAATAACATTTCTCAATGGAATTATTGAAGAAGAAAAAAAAATAATTTACAGATTTCACAGATGTTATGCGAGAAAACACTTTAAAACCATAAAACATCATTGCCAGTAAGTCAACAGCAAAAAGTCATCAGAATACAACAATGTGCATGACAAAAAAAAATAAATCAGACTATACTTTGTTAGGCCCTAAATATAGATTTATCTTGGCTGTACTCATTTCCGGACAAAGGTCCAGTGAAACCTGCAAATGGTCTGAAAGCAAAGTTAAAAAACTGACAAATTCGTAAGAGCATATAGGTAAAATAAAGGCATCTTCACAAATATTGCAGCTATATATAAGAGAATTTGTGTTGAGTGAGAACGTATTAGAAGTGTTCTCTGAATAAACATAGAGGAAAGAACTGAACTAGAAGGTTTTACATAATTTGTTCTCAGAATTATGTGACTCTTAACACCTAGATAACCATTTATTGAAAATTTGCCAAGCGTCCCCTACACATCGCTCTTTTTCATGCATAAAGTGCACGAAAAGGAAATGGAAAGGATTTCCTTTCTGTTTCATACACTTCCTTAAAACCAGACTTTGTCCACCTGGTTATGAAGCAATGAAGTTGGCTCTTTTTGAAAAACAAACGCCTGTCTGATTTCCTCCATATTAATTTTTTGTCATCTCTGTTTTTTAATTCAATAAAGTAGCCATACGGCAGCTTTATTTGTCATGTTGAATTAGCAGTACAAAAAGTGTTAAGCATTAATTTTGTGCAGTTAAGTACAAAAAATTAGGATATCTTGAGACAAGGTAGAAAAATTTTTTTCAGTTTTAATACCGCCCTATTTTTGCATACATATGCTATTTAGTTACCTGATAACATATGATTTTTAAAAAACAATACTTCATTTTAACAGGCATGGAGAGAAATCAAAGCTGTATGAATATGCAGTGCTCTTTCTCCCACAGTGAAACGTATGTGCTACTTCACTACTTCCTGAACAGTTATCTGTACCTAATTTTAATTTTAATATTTTAAATGTTTTGCATAGCCAATGTGAGAAGAAAAATACTTTAAACAAGAAGCGTACAATACACAAATTTTAACAAAGTGCACATGCATCTATGATGAACGTGCATACTGCAATTCTCATTAAAAGGGTGAATGCAAATATTATACTAGATTTAGACAGGATCATCTTTATTGTATATACAGCTATGCCTTGTGGTAAGCAAAATCTGTAGTACATCTGAAATAACGGAAGCATCCTTTCTACAAAATGCAGCAGTGACCCACGGAAGAGATGTAGAGAATCTTCACAGCCAACAGGTTGCCTGGGACCATGTCCAGATGGTACCTGAGTATCTCTAAGGGTGGAGATCCCACAGTCTCTCTGGGCAACCTGTACCAGTGCTCAGACCCCTCAATACTCAAGGGCTTATAACCCACACAGGTGACAGGAGAATACCTTTTGGGCCACTGCTTTACTACATTTAGTAGACACTATCACAAGAACTCCACATAGCTATGGGGACAGCGTGCTAAAAGCTACAACTCTTCAGGAGGAAAGTGTTCGAAGTCACCTATACTGATACCGAAAATTTAGCATATGCCTTTGCAAATAGTCAATACTTTTGCCTCCCCCCTCGATTAGCAGTGCTAATCCATAAATTGCTTTCAGCTCAGCGCAAGAGAAAACATGAAGGTTCTCACTGGCATATACCACCAGACCACAAGCCTCCGTAACGATGGACCACATCAATTGCTATGCATACTGATTCAGAAAGGAATTGGCTGAATAAAATACTGAAGGAAACCAGCTTGCTGATGCATAAGCCTCTCTGAGAAAGTACCAGAGGTCAAAGCCAATGGAAACTGCCTTTCCAAAACGAATGGTAAGCTGCTAAGCAAGGCAGCTTAGGAATATAAGTGATTTGTTTGCCAAGCACATTATTTTCTGTCCTATTGATGTGAAATAAAACTGAGAAGGAAAAATTATACAGAACTCAACTCCTTCAACTATTTTATGCCTAAATTAAGCATAGATTTCACCTCAAGCAACTAAGCACATACAGACAAAGACACTGATGTACATTAGATAGATGTACAATAAGCAACGCTAATATCAGTGCCAATCTGTTTCTTGGTCTATGTATCAGACATGAACTAGGAGGTAACGCGTTCTACCTTCCAGTCACTAAACAAGAAAAAAGGATCTTGAACGCAACCAAAATCTTTCCAATGGTACATTGCCATTTATGTAATTTGCCAGAAGGGTTTGCATGCTGTTAGGTTGTAACCCACCCTACTGCCTGCTAGCTCAGAATTGCCCTTAAAATTTGTCCCCAGTAGTCACACTAGACATAGAGGCAAAGCAATGCCACATAGAAACACCATGGAACAAAAAGCGAGCATGTATTAAATTAAAGCCAGACTCTGAAACCTTTCCTGATGACACTACTAGCGAGGATAAATGCCAATTTTCTGATGCTGTATTACCTATGCATGCAGATAAATCACCGACTTCCTGTGCATGCATAACACGAAGATTGCTCTGCTGACAGTCAGGGCACTCGCTTCTTATTTAGAGTGAAATGGCTATGATAGACAGTGCTTCTTATCTGGACTTAACTTCCAAAAAACGCCATACAACATTTGCCACAAAATCCAGAAAATTATTTCTGGTAAAATACCAACTCCGATGAACTGGGATGGCCTCTGATCAAAACATCAGCTGCTCCACGATATGGAAGTAAATAAGAACCTTCAGGCTAGAACTTTTATGTCATTCAACCAAGATTATTTTGCAATGTATTACTTCCAAAAAGGTTCTGGACAGGCAGGGAGCAGCCCCTGTCTATGGTGCTCACCTGCCCAACCCCAACCAGCTGGTCACAGGCATCAGGTCGAGTCAGCTGAATTTCTGGCCACAATACTGAGAGATCAGCTAGTTAACAGGTATCTGTATCAGCTGGCACTCTGCCAACATGAAGCTACTAAGCTAGATAATGGTTTGACTACTTGTCATAGATCTTGGAGATCACTTCAGGAAATTGGAGATACTGGAACAAAGGTATAAAAAGCAAATTTCTGTTCCATTTTGGGACACAGCACTGCATTCAGGCCTCCTCTTCAACTTATGCACTTAAGACGACTGTTTTCATAACACTGTGCAAGGTTCATTCATAGACGATTATTTCAGAAGCCTGCTGAGCTACTATCGATTCCCGAGAGACAGCAACAACATGAATTTCAATTACTTCTAGGCAGAGGAGGTAACACGCGGTTTACCTCTTGCTTTTCAGATAAACACTGCTATTGCACTGATCAAGACTAACAAGATAGTTGTAAAGAACAGGCAGGAGAACTACACAAGTTCATTTCATAGTTTTGAGCTTTAGGACACTTATAAACAAGCCTCTGTCATGCAGATAACAGGTTCACAGAATCTCCAAACAAGACTCTCAGTCTTCTTGATAGAGAATGTAAACTTTGAAAAGAAAGCACACGCTGAAGGAAATATTCAAAAGGCCTGAGTAGATATGACTTTCCCATAAAAAAAAGGAAAAAACTCCCAGTTTTCTACAATCTTGAGTAGAATTTTGGCAGCTGCCAAAAATCATAATAAAATCGCAGTATGGCTTAGAAAGCCTTCTGCATTTCAATAAACCAGATGTGGCAAGTCGTTTGTGATGCCATCTATAGAGAATAACATTTAAGAACAAATTAATTTGAATGAAATATTCTGATCTCTAAACACAAAAAAGAGATCTGAAATTCTCTGATAAAGAAAATTTTACTTGGCTTAAAATAAAAAAGCCTAGATGACTTGTCTAAGAAAATAAAAACAGATGAATATAACCACCATGAGTTGCAAAATAAACATCCTTGCGTCACCTGTAACTAAAGGATGAATAAAGTCACATAAGGCTGAGTTCTAGGCCCTGATAACAGAAATGCTGAATTTTCATCGATTTTCAGACTGCATCTATTTCAGAAGATACTGCTTCTGAAGGCCAGCTACCAATGAAATCAACTCAGTCGTAACGTGGAACTACACCCTAACACATCCTGCCCCTAAGCAGGCTGATTTGCCTGGGCAGGGTATCATAACAAGACTGTTATTCTGCCTCTCTCTTCACAGCTAACTCAAACTCCCACATAACACTGTATTGTGCCCTGTAAATACTGCAGAGACTTTTTCAACAGTGTTCAAAGTTCTCATCTATAGATCAAATGAACTAGCATCAGGTGGAAAAACAGTTACTCACCTGGAAATCTGGTTCAACCAAGTTAGTGGAATGACAACAATGTACAAAACAGGGAGCACAGAAAGCGAGCTGAAGTCAAATAGAAGTTTTCTCTATTGGAAACATAAAGCATGGAGATCCACAGAAACAACTCAAGTTTTCTAAGTCAAGAGCTGTATTTATTAAAATGAAAGGATCACTGAAAGCATTTTAGCAGAAATAATGTGAATAGCTTACCCAGTTGTTTTTTTTGCCGGCATAGATTTCCATGTTTTCTCCATATTGGGGCTCTTCAAGTAAAGTCTGATATTCAAACATGAGACGAGAGCTCTCACGTAATCGGCTGCACTGAAATTGGTGATACTGCTGCACGAGCTCTTTCACAACAAGCAGGAGACATTCAGGGTTTGAAGGATTCCAAGAAGCTAAATTCTGTCGAATTAGAAAAGAACAGAGACCAAAATTGTTTACAGTAATAGAAAGACAAGCAGTCCCCCTTTCATACTGATTCCAGAGGCACATATGCACGTGGAAGCTTTGTGACAAAGCTAAATCATAACATTAAAGGCAAAGGTTGTATCATGCTTTGGAAGAAAACCAGGTCAAACAGCAAAAGCAAGCCTTAATGCCAAATAAGAGTCCATATAAGGATCTACCAGAAAACTGATAACAGGTCTACTACAAGGCATAGACGCCCAAATTACCATTCTAGTCTTCCCTAAAATTACACTGTTGCACTTGAGAAGTTGAAAAGTTTTAACTTAAAAAGTTAAAACTGATGTGAAACATACAAGGATCAGGTAGGTACAACTTGGACAGTATCTGACTCAAAAAGCAGCCAGCCAAGTGAATATGCCAAATTGACATCAACTGTGGAAACTACTCTGCCACCATTATTCAAAGAGCAGATACAGTATTGACAGTGATGGAGCAAACAGGTTCTCTTCTGTTGCCTCAACCTCATGCTTTACTTCACCTTGAGTGCCTCTTCACTAGGCACCTTGACTCATCTCCTTAACACAAACGCCATCCACACAGTTTCCTTCAACGTGCCTGGCAGAAGTTTTTACTTCAAGTTGACCGTATACCAAGAAATGCAGTTAATAAATAAAAACGTTAACACAATGAGGATAACTGTGTCAGTAGCACAGTAGCAATGCTGTGTCTCAGTTTAACCACTCTAACATTAGCTTAGAGCAGTCTTCCATGCACAGTAAGTTTTATTGAGGAAGGTTTTCTGTGTTACAAACCATATCTAACATGATCAATGCTGCACGTCTACCTCTGATTGACCTAGAATGGACCAATGTTAAGGGCAGATGAGAACTGACTCTCTACTCCATGCTGACAGGACATGAGACAGTTCTGATGTAAAAGCCCATACACTTTGCACTTAGGTTCTCAACAGGTCTTCTTGATACAAGCTAAGGGCATGCTAACACAGACATGTGGCTTTTGGTCAGCGCTGAGTATAAGCAAAATTATTCTATATTCCTGCATATCAGATAGACATATGACAAACAAACTAGCTGCAATGGGATTTTAAATTGCATGGATCGTAGTTAACATTAAGATCCTTAGAACTGGCAAAGATGCCCACATTTTACAACTAAGTGAAGATAAAATACAGTAGCTTCAAATAAATTACTTATCAGCAACTGAACGCAAAGTAGTTACTTTTGTCCTGGAAGTTGCAGACATTTCATACACAAATTATATGCATAATTTACATTCTTCAGCAAGGACAAAAAACACATTAGCCCTTTTCTACCTCTTTAGTGGAAAAACTGCTTTGGTAGGCATTGTTTTCTACAATGAAAGGACAGAAAATATTTCTATGCTTTGAAGTAGCTATCTTAAGACTGCCTTGTATTCCAACACATAAAAAACTACATTTCTTAACCTAGGTTAAGTAAATGAATGAAGCTGGATAAAAAATGTCCTCTAAAATATACAAGCTACTCATATTTTGTGTAAAACCAAAACTAATAAATATAAGCGATCAAGTTGCACAGAGAGGTTGTTGAGTCTCTGCCCTTGCAGATATGTAAAATTCGACTGGAAAAGGTCCTGGACAGCCTGTTCTATCTGATCGTGTCCAGGCAGAGGGGCTGGACTAGATAATATCAAAAGGCTCTTTCCAATCTCAGCTATTTTTTGATTCTATGATGAAGTTTACAAAAAGCTCAAACTGAAACAGAGAATCTTATGAAGGTAAGACTCCATAGTTCTCACCTGAAAAGAAATGAAAGTGTTGTATACAAGTTTTATCTTCTGATACTCTGGAAAGGCAGACAAAGCTTTATCAATTACTCATCACGGATCACACCTTCAGCACTACAGTGAAACCTACTTGTAGCCTAATCTTAGCTACGTGGCTATTTCCATTAAAAAGGCTTTTATTTTTTTATTATCTCTGATGACTGCAGTTCATCAATATATCCCTTTGGAACGGTTTTATACAGACTTCAGTACATGTGTATGATACTGTAATAATTCAAACATTTATCCTTCCATAACTTTATATTTGTTTCCCTCTGAAGTCATATATTAAGATGTTATCAAAATGAATTTCTCATTTTCAGCATCATTTAAAACATGGTTTTTAGACCACTGTCATGACCTTCAGCAACATCACTCATGATTTTTTGAATGACTATGGCTGGCAGTACTGCATTAACTGTCTACACACAACTCATTCCTGTGATTAGGATGAAAAAAGAAATTTATATCACACATAAAAAAGAAAATGGTTGGGGGCGATAGAGTTTTGGAAAGTGGTGCTCTCATTCTTCAGAAACAGACGCTGTTCTTGCTTTGACAGAGAAAGAAAAACGTACAACCTTATGAGTGTGAATGGAGCACTTAAGGGAACACTTTCCTCTAGAGTACAAATCTGAAAAAGACTCGATGTTTACTTAATGTACAGATTCACCCAAGAATGACAGGCTCAGCTTAAGAAACACAACGGGACATGATTACTGATCATGATTTGCTTTGTTTTACATGGATGAATGAACACTTAAATGAACAATTACAGGGTTAAACTGTACACCTCCTGCTCACCATGATTCTGGTAAAAAGGGCCGCCCAGCGCAGCCAAAATACTATCCTTGAACCCCTGCCTTCAGAAGCTACCACAGTGTCACAGGCTCCAGATTTGACCATGGCTTGAAGTCAAAGTACTCTGTTTTTTTCCCCTCCTAAGTAAAGAACACCTATTAAATGGGAATATTATCATTGCCATATCTTAAAAGGTAAACTCTATTCCAGAGTAACAGTGAATAGGTGAGATACTAAGACTGTAAATTCCTCAAATACATACCACAGAGCGACTGAAAGCCTTGTTCTACCCGGTCTGCCACCTACAGCTGGCAAACATTTATTCCCAATTTGAACACATTTAAGCTTATCCGTTCCTACAAAATACTACAGAAAATTTGTCAGATAGCGTCTTCTAGGAAACACATTTTGTAACATGCAGTCTGAAACCAGACTCTGTATAACCTTAAGTTTCCTGTTCCCAAGCTGCTGCTCAAATAAAGCATTTCCAGAAAGCCAGAGGATGTAATATGCCAGTATGTATTGATATCAGCCAGACAAGTGGGAATAACCTTTCCTCCTAATGACATTGGTATAACACAATAGAAATGTTCTGTCAAAGGAAATGACCAGCAATATTTTAATAACTGACCTAAATGCAACTGAACCTTTTGTTTTTTAAATAACATTAAACCCCAGAACAAAAAAAAAAGAGCAAGAGGAAATCCATTGTCATTTGTCCAGCACGGAGCTAGAATATTGCTCTCTTCAAAGAATTCAAGAACACTGCATGAACACAGTGTTTATGCTGTATTGCCTTAAAGCTACAGGAATTAAAATGAAAGATTTGACTGCAGGATCCTTATTAAATACCTTTCATTCAGTAACTGAAGACTCAAAGTACGAACTGGTTATAAAAACAAATCATCTGGAGAAAAATTCAACTACCCACCCAGTACATACATCAATTACAACGGATCCTCACAGATGAAAGAATGAATATATAATAGTTGCACAAATTTTCTGTAACACAAGTACCGATTGAAATAAACATTAATTTTTAACTTTAGAATTATATTATTGTAGTGCTGCTTATTTGACAATTGGCCATTACATTTCTAGTCATTTTGTTAACTTTGCAGAAGTGCTGTTCTTTACAGAATATATAAATTTATAAGTTTTAACACAAACACTTCTGAATTCAATGAAATATTTATGTACAAAATTTCATTTTAGATATAGAATCATAGAATGGTTTGGGTTGGAAGAGATTTTAAAGATCATCTAGTTCCAAACCCCCTGACATGGGCGGAGAAACCCTCCACTACACCAGGTTGCTTGATGCTTCAACCAACCTGGCCTTGAACACTTCAACAGATGAAGCAGCCACAACTTCTCTGGACAACCTGTTCCAGTGCCTCACCATCTGCAGAGGGAAGAACTGCTGCCTTATCTAATTGAAATCTACTCTCTTTCAGTTTAAAGCTATTACCCCTTGTCCTACCAATGCATGCCCTTGCATAAAGTCCCTCTCCAGCTTTCTTGTAGGTCTCCTTCAGGTACTGAAAGGCTGCTATAAGATCACCCCAAAGCCTTCTCTTCTCCAGGCTGAACAGTCCCAACTCTCTCAGCCTGTCTTCATAGCAGAGGTGCGTCAGCCCTCGGATCATTTTTGTGGCCCTCCTCTGGACCCACTCCAGCAGCTCCATGTCCTTCTTGTGTTGGGCACCTTAGAGCTGAACTCAGTACTGCAGGTGGGGTCTCATGGGAGCAGAGGGGCAGAATCACCTCCCTTGACCTGCTGGCCACACTTCTTTGGATGCAGCCCAGGATACAGTTGGCTTTCTGGGCTGCCAGCACACATTGCTGGCTCATGTTAAGCTTCTCATCCACCAGCACTCCCAAGTCCTTTTCCTCAGGGCTGCTCTCAATCCAGTCATAATGATAAGCCTCAATCCAGCCCTCAGATCATCTTCATGGCCTGCCTCTGGACCCACTCCAACAGCTCCATGTTCTTCTTGTGTGGGGGGCCCCAGAGCTGAACACAGTACTCCAGTTGGGGTTTCACAAGAGCAGAAGAGATGGGGAGAATCACTTCCCTTGACCTGCTGGCCACACTTCTTTTGATGCAGCCCAGGATATGGCTGGCTTTCTGGGCTGCAAGAACACATAGCTGGCTCATGTTGAGCTTTACATCAAACAACATCCCAAGTCCTTCTCCTTAGGGCTGCTCTCAACTCACTCTTTGCCCAGCCTGTACTTGTGCTTGGGACCTTGCACTTGCCCTTGTTGAACTTCATAAGGTTCACACAGGCTCACCCCTCAAGCCTGTCAAGGTCCCTCTGGATGGCATCCCTTCCTTCCAGCATGTCAACCACACCACACACCTT